ATGGAAAATTTATTTATCATGTCACATTAGACAAAGTTATTTCATCCACACATAAAAAATAGGTGAGATTCACTTTTTTCTTTATCTCTTTTCTTTAGTGGGTCTCATCTATTTTTTTATATGTGGTATGAGACAAAATTATCCCATGCATTATAAGAAACATATTCTCCAAACATAAATTACTTTGCTTCAAACTCAATTTAATTTTGCAACATGAAGATCACTCAAAATTTAGTTTGCAAACAATTATCTAAACATACAGGGTTAAATAGATATAATATAAGATCATTAATATATTTTTCAGTATAAAAAGTTATATTTCTAGTTTGAAATAGTTTTTAACATGATATAAAGAATAACACATAAGTATGTTTAACCCTAGGGGTGGGCAACTTGGTAGTCAATTCTGCCCCCAAGAATTAGGCTTTGTGTTCGATTCTGGTAGTAGCTCTCCGGGACAGAGATATACCATTGCACTCAAAGCTTCGTCTGGGAGATTATTCACATCCCTTCTCGGATGACAAATGTACAAAGCACCCACTGTACAATCAGGAGCTAACCGTATGAATCGTACTCCGAAGACAAGATAGTTGGAGAGGGTTTAATGATGATACCTATTGTTAGAAGCACCAAAAATAAAATAAAATAAAATACACAGGTAAATTTATAATACCATGTGTTCAGGCCCGCCCATTTAATTGGCTCAAGAATGGAAGCCTATCGTTATAAGCCCAAATGACCTCTACCACATAGCAGCGCTTATAGCATTGTAATATCAGCTCCAGCGTACTAAGCATATCAAACCTCCCAACCATAGGCGGACCGATGTTATTGCATATGTCTGACACAAAAATTTGAGATTTTTTTTTTAAAGGAGTGGATGATTTAGATCAAGTAAAAAAAAAAATTAGAAAGATTGAAAAGAAAAAATTAAAAATAGGTTCAAGCTCAACCTAACCAACCCATATAATTAAAAGCTTAAAGTTTAAACCTTACACCATTTCTTTGTCTCTTTTTTTTTTTTTAACATAAACTTTATTAGCTCCAAACCTTAATAGACATCAATGATTCCTTAAATTCAATAATCTTCATCAAGTGAAGGAGAATCGCATGAAATTTTTCACATTTTTTTGTAAAAGAAAAGTGATCAACTTTAGATTAGTCTCCTACAATTAATACATTTAAAATTTTCTTTAAAAAAAATCTTTGGGGACACTGCTCCCGAACCCAAACCTTAAATATGCATACATAATTTTTTTTTCTGACACCACTCCCAACGTAAGACACACATGATCCTATGTTAAAATGTTCCATCGCACTTTTCCCTGCGCAGCAATCACTGCATGCTGACAGTGGCTGCAAAGATGATTTGGCAAAGTAAGGCCAAACTACAATGACTCTTCCCTGAACCCACACAATGTCCCTTATTTGATGAATTGTTATGCTGCGAATATTGAAAGCCACTATAGCCATATCACACATCCCCCGTTGATACTGCACCTGAGAAATTCTTAAAAGGACATCCCTAAAGTGATGTGCTTTGTCCTCCAAAGGAACATACTCGGTTCTCCAGCATCACTTCAGCTCACCATGCAACCTTTAGAAATCATTCTTAAACGTAAAACATCTTCCACGATCAAATTATGAAAGTTGAGAACCACAGCAAAATATTGAACTTGATGCCGAAAAAAGTGGAAAAGATAGTGCTTCAAAGTTAACCCACTCACGCAATTCTAAATATGTTTGGGATCCCAAACTATGGGTCATTATTCCAAAATGTAGTTTTCCCTATATAGACTTTTCTTTCTTATTTGTTAGTTTGGGGTGGGCTCAAAAGACGAAAATGATATTGGGCCTGACCAACATCCATAGTTTTATAGACCATTAGGGTATGGCCTCTTGACTTGTATAATTAAAAGCATTTATGTTCGGGCTCAATCCCAAGGAGAGGAAATCATGGATCCAAGAGTTTCACGCGTTAAAACCCTACAGTGCAGCCGCGGGAGTCACATCTCAACTCGCGTCATTTTCACCAAATGTCACTTTTGCGACAATTAAAAAAGTTTCTTTTTCACTTAATAAAAGTTAGAACCGCGTCCAACCCGTGTCCTTTCCCTCCGCGTCCAACGCGTGTCCTTGACCACCAAAAAAAAAAAAAACTAAAACGCACAATTCTACATTGAATTCTCAGTGAGCTTGGTGCTCCCCTATTCTAAAAAATTTTGGTAAAAAAAAGAAAAAAAAGAAAAGAAGAAACGCACATGCATACATCACCGGATCATAAAATACATCTAGATAGATAAGCACACGCCACATGCCTCCCTGTCGGCTAGCCATCGCACTAGATTCCAAGCTCCATTCATTGTAGAAGATTTCAGAAATTTTGAAGTACATATTTCATTTACTTAAATTAAAAAGTATAGGTTATTTTTTATTCTATTTTATCTATTATTTTCTAACATTGTTAGATCATAATTTAAAAAAAAAAAGAAATAATAAAGATTAATTGAAATTCTAATTTAATGGTATTGAAAAATGATAGATAAGGTCGGCATAAAAAAGATAGATAAAATAATCTATTCCAATTTACAAATATTTGACTCACTTAATTTTATTTAATTTTTTTGGTAAACAATTTTATTTAATTTTAATGTTATGTAAGTGCACGTTTTTAATTGAAATGGATAAAATATTCGGAAAAGATTATATTTCTGGAGAATTAACTCGATTATAAATGTATTTTGAAAAATATATAGTATAATTTCTAAAAAATTTATTTTTGAATATAATGAAGAATTAAACACATGACATATTACATAACCACCCACGTCCCTTACAGCTAGAATAACCCTAGTAACTTATAATTTATAAAAGTTTATAAATAAAATATGGGTTTTATAAAAGTTATGTTGTAGGAAAAGTAATTGTGTACTGTTATAGAAATTCGTTTTGCGTGCTGTAATTTTTTTTTGCTTCAAAAAGTGTGAGCCCACAAAATGTTGTGTGTGCAAAAAAATTTTTTTTATCATGTGAAATAATAAATACAAATCCCATTTGTAAATATACCCCATGCCAAAATATTCATAATAAAAATTATTGATCTTTATCGTAACCACTATACTCTCTGGTATTCTGGCTGATTTGAGCGTAAGAATCCGTAATAAGTATATTATCACCTTTTTCCGATAGCAACCATCAATACATGTGAAGAAATTTCAGGAGGACGTAACAATTGCAATATCTTCCTTTAATTTGGTATCTCAATCGAAACGCTAAGGTGATGGTGGTCAGAAGGGTTGGCATAACGGACCTATCTGACTCGATCCGGCTCAACTTGCATACAACTTAAAATAATGAGTCAAAAAATCCAACTCAACTCGATCCGAGTCGAGTTAGGGTTAGCTGGCAGGTTGACTTAAAAATATGTCTCGTAGGTTGGCTTAAAAAAAGAATTCGCGAGTTGGCTCAAAAATTAAGTCGACGGTTGGCTCAAAAATTACTAGTGGATTGACTCGTTTTCAACCTATTTAAATAAACATGTAGTGTTAATGCACCAGTTATGTGGCTTCCATCAGCTTAAACAAAGAGTTATAAAATGAGAAATAAAAGCAAAATGTTCTAGTTTCAAATTTTCTTTACAACAAATTTGCACTAACATCAATAAACAATCAGAATCATTTGCTACAAAGTAGATAAGATGTTTGAACCAAATAGAGCCAGCATAGCCTAATAATATAAAAATAGCAGCGATGTGAGAATATTAGGGACTTAGATTTATAGAAGGAAGAAAGACAATGACAACATGTGTGTGTTTTGTCCATTTTCGTATATTATATTTTGTATTTATTTATATTAAAAAAAATTGCAACTCGCGAATTAGCTTGTTTTTTCTCCAATTGAATCAGGTCGGGTTGACTCAGATTGACAAATCATTTTTGTTAATCCAACCCGACTCTTTTTTTAAAAATTATGAGCCAATCTGATGAATTGGCTTATTTTTGTCAACCTAATGATGAAGAATTAGATTACATTGGAAGTATATAGCGAATGATATAGTTGTTTAATAAGTTGGAGGTCTAACCGTTTGTTTTCAGTTTAGATAGGAATTGCATGACTTAGACTAATCCACATAATTTATCTATTTCTTTCTCTTAAAATGACTATTAAATGATACACACTTTATAGTTATTAAAAAAAAATTAAATTTTTAAATAAAAATTGTGATTTTTTATGAAAAAATATTTATCATTTTAAATGACACAAAATTATACCAATTTTAATGAAACTATATCATTTTATAATATTAGAAAAAAAAAGAAATTGAATGAGAGAGAATGTAAAAACAAATCAAAACAATATAATTTTATTAAAAATGATATAACTTTGTATTATTTAAAATGACAAACATCCATTCCTTTAAGGGGCGTTTGGTACAGGAGAAATTTTTATTTGTCCGAAAATCTCGATTTTCAAAAATATAATTTTTACATTCAGTTTACGATAATATCTGAAAATTTAAAATTTAAAAAAATATAATTTCTCAAAAATTCGGAAAAAATCCGTGTACCAAAAAGACCCCTTAATACTTTTAAGGAATATGTAAATTAGATAATAATATAAGCAACATAAAGCCATCAAAACTTATTACAAAAAAAAAAAAAAAAAGCCATCAAAACTAATCCAACTTTATTTGCCTTATGGGGTTGTCACTTGTCACACATATTATTATTAGGGGTTTATATATGTAATGTTACATGAAAAAACTCCAATTTCCTGCAGACACAATGTCTGTGGAGTCCGCTGTACTTTTAGAAAGAAAAAAAAAATAAAAGTTGGCGTTGATTTCTATGTATCAGTAGGAAAAAAGTTTTATGTTCTAGCAACATAACTCTTCAATTTCCCTTATTTATCATTTGATAAAATCATGCTTATTATTAGTTTAATTTCCCACAAAAAGTGTGGTCCACTCCCGAGTCCCGACGCGAATAATAGTCCAGACCAAACAAGTATAAAATGGGAAATGGCACCGTTTGATTCACCTCAGGCTTTTCGGTTTCCTTCTTTTGTCTTATTCCTCCTTTCAATTCGCGTTAAGAGCAAACCCCTCTCCGTAAAACGTTAACAATGGCGACGAATCCAGCCGCAGCGGGGAACACCGTCACCGAACCAAACCCTAACCCTAACTCGAGTACCAAATCCTCTGTGTACTTCCAAGACATGGATGAACTCCAGCGAGTTTTCAACCGCTTCGATTCCAACGGCGACGGCAAGATCTCCGTCAACGAGTTGGACAACGCCCTCCGCACGCTCGGATCTGGCGTCCCGCCGGAGGAGCTCCAGCGCGTCATGGACGACCTCGACACCGACCACGACGGCTTCATCAACCTTCACGAGTTCGCTGCCTTCTGTCGCTCCGACACCGCGGACGGTGGCGCGTCCGAACTCCGCGACGCCTTCGATCTATATGACCAGGACAAGAACGGACTCATCTCCGCCGTGGAGCTCCACCAGGTGTTGAACCGTCTCGGAATGAAATGCTCGGTGGAGGAATGTCACAACATGATCAAATCCGTGGATTCCGACGGCGACGGAAACGTTAACTTCGAGGAGTTCAAGCAGATGATGTCCAACAATCGTGTGAATGGCAATGGCTGCGCCTCTTAGAAGGACAATCGGCACTTTGGATTTGCAATTTGCTAGGCACCTTCCTCAATATCCAACTAACAGATCTGTAACTTCCCTGTTATTATTATTCTCCTAGTTTCCTCTTTATAAATAACTCTGTTCAATCGCTGCGCAGAATTAGAAACCAAATGAAAAATAAATCTTATGGTTGCCTTTTCGTTATTGGTGAATTCAAAATGTGCATGGTAATTTTGTGCTAAGTTTTCGATGATTTTGTTCTAATTCGTTCTTGGCGGCGATTAACGATTGAATTCATCTCGATTACCTGTTTGCGGTTGCGGAATTAGGTGGTGACCTTTTCTTCTTGTTATAATAAACCGGTTGCGGAATTAGGTGCTGACCTTTTCTTCTTGTTATAATCTACTTTGAAATTCTGACATGCTTTGGGAAAATAAAATTTATACGAAATTATCCAAAATTAATGGTACAAATATTCTTAGATCATGCGCTATTTTCTGCTCCTTGAATATTAGTTTATTGCTCTGAAAGGGAGATTCGCGGGAGAAGAACCATTTCTTTCAATTTTTGCTCTCTTTTTGTATGAATTTTGAATGTGGAAGATGGATTGTTTTTCATTCGGTATTGCTATACTCGCCGGTACAATAAAACACGGGAAAACCCTTATAAAATGGCAATGGAAACTGCTTTACACATCGTCATGGCTGGGGGAAGTTGAATTGGGGCATTTAGTATTTTCGGGGTTTCCTTTTGAAGCCGAGGAATAACTGAGGGCATGCGATACGTGAGTTATTTGAAGATAAAAATTAGAATAAATATCTTTTTTTATCCTCAGTAAATTTTAAATTTTAAAATTTGCGATTTTGCGATGCTCGTTTTAGTCTTTAGCAAATAAAAAGACTCGTCAGCATTTTGCACGTCTCTGGCAAAACAAAGGCCAAAGACCACCGAAGAATTACGCGCGAGGTTAAATCCGTGTTCATACTTCAAATGTACAATCCGTCGGTCAAAATAATTCTCGTATGAACTAGCGTCAATTAAAGTTAACAAAATCCATACGTGACATATTAAAAGTGTTTATGATAGATGTACACATGACAAATAAAGTTCAGAAAAGTATTCTTCTCCCTTTTTCATCACTGTCCCACCAACTTCCACGGTTTCGTTCCAAAGGAATACGAGTTATACCCATTCACACTGCTAACAATGATGGAATCATGATACTAATAACCCCATCAACACACTGAACCTCTTTCAAAACAACCAACCATCAAGCTCGGTTTTTATCGAGTAGATCGAAATTTAAAATACTTTGAATTACCTACGTCTTCAATTAGGAGATGCCAAAAGCTAACACTAGCAGCCCCACCAGCGGTTCTAGAAGTTTTGTTATTGTTGTCGTTTTTTCTCTCTCTCTCTCTGTTTTACCAATTCAAATAATTTCATAACATCTATTTATTTTTTTTGGTAATTACTTTTCTTTCTTTTTAACTTCTGTTGACATGTTAATCGGTTTATAGCAAATTCAATTAGTCCAATGTCCAGTTCTAATATGATCAGATTTATATCGGTGATATGTAAATGACAACTTTCCTAATATTATTTTCTTATTATCAAGCTGCTTGAACTCGACTCAGGACCGTTAGCATAAACAGACATTTTATCACTTAAATTAATGATTGTTAGTAATTTTTTTTTTTTTACTTTTGGTTAAACATATGTTACTTATAGAAATTAGGATTATATAAAATACAAAAAGTAGCTGTATGAAAATTATGTAGCATCTAGTTTTGTGAGAAGTTAAAATACTTTTAATGATAAGTTAGTACATCATTAAATAATGATGTAAAATATATTTATGTTATCATTATATCAAATTCCTACCCCGTCTATTTTCGTTTTCCTCTCACCAAATTTTGATCTCTGTTATAACAAAACAGAAAAAAAAAAAAAAACTACAGTAAGACTCAACCCAATTAACATGTTTTTGGGTTTGATTTCTGTAAACACAGTCCAAATATTCTACTCAAGTTTTTGCTTACGGCATAATTAGATTAATGCCCATCGAAATAAGCCCCACGTTAACGAGTTATTTCCAAGATGATGAGCCTCCCCACGTATCCTTTTACTCCAGCCCAGCTTTCAGGTTTGTATAAGAGCTTGGAATATTATTTTCAATGCTTTGTTAGCTTCTAATTTATTCATCTTATTCCCAACAGCGTGCATATATAGCTGTATGTAACTATGTATGGCAATTATTCTATTTGTTAGTCCCTGTTCTTTGGAAAATAATTTATTTTATTTTTATACTTAGGAAGAAATTTTTGGCAAAAAATTATATTTGATAAACACATTCTATTATAGATGTATTTAATAAATATATAGAGAATTTCCTTTGTCATAATTTTATAAATTCTGATAACATTTTTTTTAATAAATTATATATTTATAAAAAATAATTAAATAGTGTGCTTTGGAACAACGTTTTTTTTTTAACTTCATTTTATATTCTTGTGCTACCTGTTCATTCTCTGCCTTATAATTCTTAATGTTATCCATGGCTAATTTCCAGTTCCTAAAAATAATCCTAAAACTTTAAAAGATGAAATAAATTTTTTGAGTAAAATGTTAAAATTGATTAAAAGAACGTTCGAAATTTTATTTCTATCTTCTTAATATTTACTATCTAATGCTATTACATCAAAGAGAGGAAATATATCCTTAAAACCTCGTTGGTAGTTATTCTTCACAACTAAAAGAGTAAATTGTATGCTTATCCAAAAAAAAGAGAGAGAGTAAATTGTATTAAAATAAACTAAAATCTAACATATTACACATTTCTATCTTTAAAAACAAATATAAATAAAATATCTCACACATACACACACGTAGAGGTAACCCATCTTGAGTCTTGACATTTTATCAAACAGGATATAAGCAATTTTCACATTAAAGTACTTAAAGAACCAAACCAATACGTCAATTGACATTTGAGTTTGATTTAAGAAATCTAGATTTTTCTACTTAAGTTACAAATCTAGAATCCATAAACGACCCTACAGAACCCCAAAAGAATGAAGAAGGCTACGAAAGAATCCTTGATGTCAGCCTTAAGGCGTTGCTTCACTTCCGTTGCATAATTCATATAACAATTAGTAGTATTTATAAAGAGAAAAATATTTTTCATTCTAAATGACACAACTTATATCATTTTACTCTCACGAAGAAGTGAGATTAGTCTGTTCTCACCCACTTCTCTTAATTTTTTAGATGTATCTTATACTTAATTTTAAATGATAGACTCCACCTCTCTAGGGGTGTGCAAAATAATCAAAAAACTGAACCGAATCATGAACCGAACCGAACTGCTCCTTAAAATAATCAGTTTTTAAAAATCAGTTCATGAACCGAACCGGTTTTTAAAGAACCAGTTCATGAACCGAACTGGTTTTTAAAACCAATTTAAGAACCGAACCGATTTTTAGAACCAGTTTAAGAACCGAACCATTTTGAACCGAACCGAACGTTTCCGAACCGAACCGTTTTCAAACCGAACCAAATTGATTTTTATAACTTTATTTTTTAATTTTTTTTTTCTTTTCGAAAGAGGGTCGACCCGAACCGTTTCCAACCGAACCACTTCCGAACCGAATCATTTAAACAAATTCGATTCTATTTTTCAAACAAACCGGTTCGGTTCGATCCATGCACGTCACTACCCCCGGCTCTTTGTTGAAAATGTTGCTGCTCGTAATTTAAACTTTAATAAAGACTATATTAAAGTTCACGAAATAAATCTGAATAATTATAAAAAAGAATCATACACATAATACAAATTATAGAATAAATTGTAAGTGAGATACATTTTTAATGGCTAAAATATAATTTTTGTCTTGTTTTATATCAAACGAGGTTTGGATTTTGTTATCTTATCTCATGCATATTGGAAAGTGAGGTCTTGATTTTAAATTCTATTATCCTGTCCTTGTTTCTTTTGGAAAAGCACAAACAGAACCTCCCTAAAATCGACAAACAGAATAATCTGATAACCTGGTCAAACAAGAATGCAGCCATAGTTAAGCTTGAGTTTGTATCCTAAAGTTCGATACCCAAACCCAGAAAAGCATATTGTAAAATCAAGTCATCTTCAGTAATTGCCTGTTACGGAAAGCTTGAGCTTTATTGCCAAACTCATTGTTAATTTGATCATTACAATGGCAACTAACCACAAACATATATGATCACATGTAAAACTATATTTTACAAAGAGGAGATAATTTGGAATCATTACCTTTCTACAATTTTTTAATCACCTTTGAGATGGCTATGATGTAAACAATGTAATTTGATAACCAATCTGTTGAGTGATTTGCACAAAGTTGCGAAAAGCCAATCCTGGAAGGCCACATAAGCATGAAAATGCCAACTTTTGAAATTGAAAAAAATGGGAGGGGACAGGTGGAACAATATCATTGGACCTTCTTTGAAGATGGAGACGACCATGGCTGACTCTTCCACATAGTTAATGACATCCACAAGTGTGGACAACATGAAGGACTATTGATCATGTCTTTATCAATGGTTTCACATGTAAATACTTGATACCCTCCAAAAACAATACCAGGTAGTGTCCCTTTTATTTTATAATCTAATGTAATTTCTAATGTTGTATTATTATTATGATCATGACCTTGCATCCTATTGTTACTTTCTTCCACACCTGTATAGTTCATATTTCATAACTAACTATTTTTTATTTTTTTTTTGGGTTAAGTTTTTTCACCGCCTCACGAGCCTTGTTCCTGTTGAGTTTCTTGTGTTTGGGTATTAGGAAAAAGGCTTGAGAGGTGAAGGTAGAGAGATTAATAGAGAAGGTTTATAGTTATGGCTGATGCATTTGATGAAGAGTGTGATTACCTTTTCAAGGCTGTTCTGATTGGAGACTCTGGGGTTGGGAAATCAAATCTGCTCTCAAGGTTTGCAAAAGATGAATTCCGCTTGGATTCCAAACCCACCATAGGAGTGGAATTTGCTTACCGCAACATCAAGGTCAGAGATAAACTCATCAAAGCCCAGATATGGGACACTGCCGGCCAAGAAAGGTAACTCTTTATTCCTCTCTGTTTCTTTTTCATCACTTCCAATGAATGAATCTTTGTTGTGTCTTTAATCGTTTAGTTTATTGTTTCTTTGTTTTGTTAGTCTCTGATCGTTGTAGTTGTTGTTTTTTTATTTTTTCTTCTTTTTAAAAGTCTTGATCATACCAATTTTGTTTCAAAGGTGAACGAAATTGATGAGCTCAAAATAGTTTTGAGTTTGCAGATCAGAGTTCAGTTGCATGGTAGATGATACTTTAGGCCTTGTCTTCTTTCTTTGTTGATTGTGTGTTATATTTCTTATGAAAGGTCAAGGCTTTTCCAACTGGGTTTTCAATTTCAAAGTATGTGTGATGATGTGTCCTCAGCTCATCTTACTTGTCTATTTTTAGAGTTCTCAGTTCTGTTTCGCTTTTCTTACCTTGTATGCTCTTCACAAACATCTTGTCCCACTTCTATTTTAATCCCATAGTTTTGTTAGCTAAGCTAGCCAAATTCTGGTGTTTGCTCTTGTTTATTGACCTAATATAAAAAGAAAAACACATAGGGGAGGGATTAAAAATAGGAACTATATTTTAGGATTTTTACAACTGCACTGCTCATCCGTGATGATCTCTTAAATTTAATAATCTAGAAATTAGAAAAGTATAACTAGAATTCATTCGGTGGGACCTGAAGACAGAGAATTCATGAATTGAATTCCAAGCTTGGATTTGGATTTGTGGTTTGATACAGAAACTTAATCACGAGAGGCAATACTGCATTTATCAATTATCATTAGAAAAATCTAAGACGTATCTTCTCTTCCAAGGTAGATTCTTAATTGGAACGTCGCCGTAATTTCCTTCTTTTCTGTGGTGCTCCGTGTTAACTTTTGTTTTTTCCAACTTGAAGGGAAATTTCTATAGATTTCAATTACGACATTCACACTCATTACAATGGCTTTTTCTTTATCATCCCAGAAAAAGAATTTCACTATTTTGCCTTTGGGTTACATGCGCACAATTTCCTATCTCCTTTATACTTTATAGTTATTATAATTTTTTTGTTAACTTATATTTTCCTCATGAGATGGCAGATCTAGTTTCTAGCAATAATGATTATGCCGCTGTACTGTATTCCATTAATTGAATTTAATGATGTGAATGAAAAATGAGTTTAAAGAGTAGGGGTCACTCTTGGTTGAGTAAGTGTAGAAATCAAGTTTTCTTTTTTTCCTTAATGCAATCCAATCTTATATAGCGTAACTATTGGGGGAGGCGGGTCCAGGACATGAATTTGTTCAGCTTATGTTAGAGAAAGATAACATGAAAGTGATTGAGACAAAGAACCGAAAAGCAAATTGGCAATCATTGAGTCAGGTGAAGAAATGTGCGTGAGAAGTGGCGAAGGTTTAGGTGGCCAACCACACAATCGAAGAAATTATTCTTTCTAATCATATAAAAATTCTTAGCTAAATTGTGTATGTTGGTCAATATACATTTTTTATCCCATAATATTAATTAATGCCTTTCGTTTCTCATAGAAGGACATTTAATTTTATGTTGAATTTTACTTAGGATATATCTTATATTTATTTCTAAAAAAAGATATGGTTAATTTTGTGGCAGGTTTAGAGCAATCACAAGCTCATACTACCGAGGAGCCTTGGGGGCATTGCTAGTGTATGACATAACAAGGCGATCGAGTTATGAGAATATAAGAAAATGGTTAATGGAGCTGAGAGAGTTTGGAGGCGAAGACATGGTGGTTATTCTGGTTGGAAACAAGTGTGATTTGGCTCAATCAAGAGAAGTTGAGAAAGAAGAAGGAAAAGGGTTTGCAGAAACTGAAGGGTTGTGTTTCATGGAAACCTCTGCTTTGAAGAATCTGAATGTTGAGGAAGTATTCTTACAAATGATCACAAAGATTCATGATGTCACAAGCCAGAAAAATTTGGAAGCCAAAATGGACGAAAAACCGATTAAACTTTCGAGCGGGAAGGAGATCCATATAATTGATGAAGTGACTGCAACTAAACAAGCTACTTGCTGTTCAAGATGAGAGCTTTAGTGCGTAAATTGTGGGATTTTGCACGAATCTGTGTGTAACTGAGTGATTGATTCTTCCTATTTTCCCCACTTTTCAATATATTTTTTCCTTCTTATGGGCGGATTTTTTTATTTTTTTGAAAATCTTATTGGCGTTTCTTTAGTGCATGGTCACGATGGGTTTTCCCCCTGATATATAACACATAAGAGATGACTTGATGGTAGATTATAATAATGTGCATTTGATTTTAAATTTAGATTAGATTTGAAAATTCAGAATTTAAAATTATATCAATTTAATTATAACTTTGACCACAATCCAAGTGAATAAATATTGCCTAAAATATAATATATGAATCTTTTTCAAAATTAGGTTTAAATTTAATTCGTATATGTAAATTTTTTCATAGTTCATACTATCAAGAAGCAAATACCACATTATTGTATTATTTTTTTTTACATTATTAGTAAATCAAAATCACAACTTTTTAAAGATTAAGATATGTCTCACTTGTCAAAATTGATTTTGTAATGTTAAGGGTGTGCATGACAATCATTCTATTCCCTAGCACTGTTTCTTAAAAGAAGCAATTCTTTTCTATTTCTGTGCCATGGAACAGTTTCTGAGAAAAAAAATGTGTTTGATAACATGTTCTATTTTTATTCCGAGAATGAGAATTGTGTTTGATAACACAACAAATAATATAATAAAAAATAATTTCTATTAAATATAAAAAATTCTGGATCATCACTTTTCTTTTCACATTGTGTGGTTGTGGTGGGGGCGGCGACGACGGTACAGTAATGGTGGTGGCAGTGACGTGGTGAAGATAGTGGTGGTGGTTGTGACGGCAGTGGATGCGACGATGACGGTGGTAATGGTGGCGGAGGCGATGATAGTGGTGGGGATGGTGGTGGTGGAGGTGACGGCAGTGGTTGCCACAATGATGGTGTGTATGGTGGTTGGTGGTGGCATGGTGGTTGTGGTTGTGAAGGCATCAGTGTGGTGGTGGTGGCTGTGGTTGCGGCGGTGGTGGTAGGTGATAGTGGTAGTGGTGGAAATGACGTGGTGATGGTAGTAGCGGGGGTGGTGTAATGGTGGCGATGGTGGTGGTGGTGACGGTAATGGCTGTGACGATGGTAGTGGTGGTTGATGGCGGCAGCAACGACGACGGTGGTGGTTACGGTAGTGGCTGCGGCAATAATATTGGTGGTTGGTGTCGTGGTGGTGATGGTAGTGGTGGCGTCGCGGTGGTGGTAGTGATGGCGATGAGGGTGGTGGCAGTGGCGTGTGATGGCGATGACGACAATAGTTGCGATGATGGTGGTGGTGGTTGATGGCGGTAGTGGTGGTGGTGGTGGCGGCGGCGGCGGCGGTAGTTGTGGTGGTGGCATCGTGGTGGTGAGGGGTGGTGACGACAACACTAGTGGTACGATGATGAAGAGTGATTAAGAGAGATAAGTATTTCTCATTTTGTGCCCGAGAACAAAGAAGTATAAATTTTTTGATTCTTTTTTCTGTTCCCCAGCAAAAAAATTAAACCGGTTCATCCCGAGAACAAAAAAAATAAACCGATTTTACCAAACGAGTTTTCTATCCATTTCTGTTCCCGGGAACAAAAATTAAAAAAGAATTGATTTTGGGAAGGTTGTCATGCACACCCTAATTGTATGTATTTTTCAGAAAAGAAAAATTAGAGTGCCTGGAATCAAATCCATCCGCAGAGAACATTAAATTGTCACTTGTTCTAAAATCAATTCAGCGAATTAAAAATTAGATTAAGACATCATACTATGTATTTTGCTTCTTTCTTGTCTTCCCATTTTATTATATCTTTTGAAGCAATATTTCTATGTAAAAGAAATTACAATTTTTTAACAAACCTCTTTCTCCAAAAAAAAAAAAAATCTTCCGCAAAATTTCATGTTGTCCAGAATGTATGAACTTTTTTTGGAAATATTCCATCGGTTCATCGCTTCGCGACTAGTCCGATTCGGGGCGGGTCCAGGATTAAGGCTTTAAACTCCTCCCAAATGTGATACTGGAGAGGTTTGAACACATACTCTCACCCCTACCTGCTCAGCTCCCATGCGTCAACTGAGCTACCACCATTTGGTTGGAATGTATGAACTTTAACTATATGTAAAGGATAAGGTTTCTTTAAAATAATTGAATGCATTCTATTTTTGTAGTAAACTAAAGGTAAAGAAAGCAATACATCAATATTTTTTTTTTAATTAGACAGGTTTACTATATTGTTTTTTAGGTCTTTAAATTATTTTCAAAATAATACGCATTTTTATAATGTCTGCTAGCCCATGATAAACTATGATACTAATTCAGAAGAAAAGGTGTTTTCAGAAAAATCAATAACACACCACTTAAGAATGGAGGAGAATATGGAAATCAAACTTGGCGTTATTGCTTTGCTGACCTTCAATTACACGGGTCTCTTCAATTGCAAATGGGCAATAATTGTACAAGGACAATGCGAACGAAAACTCTTCAATAATTGTAGAAGTGAATGAACCAATTCGTGAAAACGGATCGTCTGTAATTGCAAATACGATTGCACGACGTGCAATATAAATCCAAAAGTTGCAAATTTTTAAATTGACTTTATAATTCTTTTTGATAGAACAAAATTTATTTTAATGGAGGATATCCCTAGAATATTTTTGGTACATAAAATGTATCGTATGTAATAACTCTAATAATAATAACCCTAATAATTAAATTGCTTTAATTATAGAACTAATGTAGAATTAGAGGTTAAATTAGGTCGATAACATAATTATGAAATTAATCAATTTTCAGGGTAAAAGTGTAATTAATGATAATGTTAGACTAAATGCATAATCTATGCAAGTGGGTGAAATCCAGAATAAATTAAATAAAGGACATGTGTCTCAATGGACCAACCAAACCAATAACCCCAACTAGCGAAAAATCTAGAATACAACCGATGTAGGTGCGACTGGCCAATAATAGCGCACCACGTCAGCTATCTTTATACTGGAAAAAGAAAAAAATGACTTTTGTAATTTACACTATGTACTACTGGTAGTAGTACATAGTGTAAATTACAAAAGTCGCACCCAGTTCGATACGATCGTAGTACCAAAAGTGCGCTCTCCCAACTAGATGGTTGGAGTGGAATGAGGTAATACGAGAGAGAATTAAGGGGTAAACGGGTAAAAACCCACTCTAGATATTTTCTAAAAGCAAATATCAATTTCTCTCTCCTCAATTCACAATCTCATACTCTCTTTCTCTCTACCCACCATCGCATTCCCTCTCTTTCTCAACCATAATTGTTGTTTTCTTCCTCTTTGCTTGAAATCTCCACCAATATTTGACCCAACCTTAGAGATCGAAGCTTCTCCACCATTAAAAACTAGGAACCAAGAAATGGAGTAACTATTCCTTGTTCAAGAAATCCATTATCGTGCATCTTATGGGGAGAAAATGTGGAGGTGATTTTCTTGCAATTGGAGCTTTGGAATCATCGCTTTTTGGTGTTGCGAGGCTTATAAGGTGAGAAAGGCTTTGATTTTCATGGGTTTTGAGAGTTATCATGAATTGAGGGGTTAGGGTTTGAGTTGGGTTTTAGGGATTCCGAATTTCACGTATAGAAAAGATGAAATTGATGAATGAACTTTGTGATTTTGTTTGGGAGTGTTGGATCCCTTGGTGTTTGCATTTGAACCCAGCATTGGGCTCAATTTGGAGTAGAGTTCCATAGTGGTTTAATTATTGTGAGGATTGTGACAAGAGAAGCTAGAGGGTCAAGCCTTGGCAAGGAAAACTCTTGGACTTTGGATTTTTTCCCCCTTTGTTGTTCCTCCATACTCCATGAGGAGTAATGATTTGTATGAGATGATGTGCATTGGTATTAAGACTAGGTGTTATTGTTTGCATTATGGAAATGTGGATAAGCTATGTGCAACTATATGATTAGATTGATCCTTGGCCATGTGGATGTGAAATATGGACTTCCCTTAGTGCCAAAGTCATGTGGAACAACACTAAGTGGGTAAAACTTAAGAGATGTGAATCTCTTGTGTGTATTCTCTTGGAAGTGCCATATGAGAGATGTGAATCTCTTGTGTGTATTCTCTTGGAAGTGCCATATGAGAGATGTGAATCTCTTGTGTGCATTCTCTTGGAAGTGCCATATGAGAGATATGAATCTATTGTGTGTATTCTCTCTGAAGTGCCCAGTGAGAGATGTGAATCCCTTGTATGTATTCTTTCGATGTGTGAAATAATGCCGTGTTAATGCCTGTATATCATGGAAGTGAGCTCAAGGGTTGGAGAAAGTCTCCAAGGACCTTGAGTTTACTGAGATTGTATCTCACCTCGTGTGAGGATTACATTTCAGGTACACCGAGTGGTGCAGATGAGACCTTCCTCAAGAGGCTAGTTTAAGGATGGATCGCTTTTAGATGCTATGATTGGTATATTTTGATTACAAAGGCATGATAGAATGCTCAATTTATAACACGTATATTTAACCTTGTTCCATTTTGAAGTTGATGCTTTATTTTCAGAAATACGATTTGGAGCGAAGAACTTGTGAGTTGCGTAACTCGAGCTATACTTAACCGAATGATTAATGTTTACCTTTTCAGAAAGCCCGAGAAGTCTACTTCAATATAGTAAAATATTAGAGTTAATGGTGAAGTCATCTCATTTACATAATATAATTAGTGATGATAGTTTGGTACTTTGCATAAATAAAAAGCTTATCTTGAATATAAATCAATTAAAAGGACGCGTGAATTACACTGCAACATCAATTGAGCCTAATACCTTGATAAGTAAAGAAAAATATTATTCACGACTTTAGTTTGAATAACTGATAAATAATATTAGGGGTGTTCGCGGTCTGGATTGGATCGGTTTTGGAAGTAAAACTCATCCGATCCAATCCCTTCGGTTTGATCATGTAATCATCCATTCGGTTTAGATTTTTTTTCAAATCCGATCCGATCCAATCTAATTTTTTTCGGTTTGGATTGGATCGGTTTTCGGTTTTTTGAATATCCTAAAATTAGTTTCGTGATTATTGTGCAAATAACATCTTTTGTATATATTGACTTTGTAAAAAAAAAAATTTGAAATACAAAAATATCAGTAAACAGTACTATAGTTGATGAGAGATGACTAAGTTTTTTTTT